TCTATGAAGCTCTACAGTGTCTCCTTATTCCTCAAAAGATGTCCAAATCAAATCTATAGAATGTCAACCATGACAAGATTTATTCAACCTTCACTAGCTGCATTTCAATGATGACATTATCTTGATCGCAGCAGGATCAGACTTATCATGTTGCATAGAATTTTCATCTCATGTGCCTATACTTATTTGTGTAACCTTACATTTCAGGTTTGATCGGATATTAGCTCAGCTCTATTTTTAAAGCATGTGCTAAGATAGTGTCACCTGTATGTGAACTCCACACAACCATTTCCCTATTTGGAAATCATGGTAAAAATTCTAACACTGAACAATCTCACTTAAAAGAAGTATTGGAGTCAATGGAGTTGATATTTGTGACCTTCAATTCTAGTGCAGTTACACGGGTTTTAAATGAGACAAGAGTCAGAAGTTATATTGAAGTTTGTCACACTTTAGGAACCTTTTAATGAAGGCGACTGTATTAGCATTGATAGAATTTTTTTTGCAAACAATGGAAAATAAATGTTTTTTTAAAAAAGAGATTGAAATGAAGACATACATAAACCGAGTAATAATTAACAAAGAAAGGAGATACGCTGGGTGGAGTGAATGTTTACTTGCTGACTCACTGGAAACAGAGTGGTTGATAGTCCAGTTACGCATGCAAATTCTTGAAGTCTGGCTTTCCTCGCAGGTAAAGGATTTGGCACATGTCGGATAGGGGAAGGAGTTCAGGGGACTGGCAGAAAAATCCCCTGCTCCTCCTGCTCCTCAGGTCCACAGAAGTGCCACACTGAAGGTACTGGTCTTTGCCCTGAAACTGCCCTCTCAGTAACTGCCAGTTCCCCAAGGCTCTTAACAGCCAACCACATTCAAATCTTCCCAGTGTGTTACAGCTGAGAATTGAAGCCTCACTGAAGTATTTATTAAAATGCCAAACCTTCTCTGAGGAGCAGGCTGGCTCCAATTGTCCTGTCAAAACAGGCTCAGTACTCAGTAAGTTGGAGCCGGCTGCCCGAAGCACATGCTTTTTTTGTTCATATAAAATCCACCTGCATCCAATCTAGCAATTCAGAATTTTAACCTACCAGGATCTAAAATATCCTGGGACTCAATGGATGAATTCTGACTTGAAACCAAAGCTTACATACCAAACCTGGCACACAGTTTGAGAATATGGTCCCAAACATTAATAATAATGGTCCTGGCATGCCCTCCTATTTCTTTCATGGAACCAGGGTTGATCTCCTGCCTTGTTAATAATGGTAGGGTGGGGGATATGCCAGGCCATGTGGTTGGAGGCTGTTTTGGAGTTCAATTCTGTGACTGCTGATGGCACCCATGCCTAATGAATGCACAGGTTTGAAAGTTAGGTCTATTTGAAATCTATTCTATTGAACATAGTCATAGACCCTCACAATGCTATGGAGGTTGTCTTCGATGTGAAGACAGAACTTCAGCTTCATAAGGGTTGTATGATGGTCACTCTGACCAATCCTGTCACAAACAGATGCATTCAGAACAGACAGCTTGTTGAGGATGAAATCAAGTGGGCTTTTCCCTCTGATGAGCTCTCTCATCACCAGTGCCAGTTTAGCACTTGTGTCCTTTAAGACTTAGCCACTTAGCCCTCTTGGTCAGTACTGATTCTACCAAGGCACTCTTGGTGATGAACAGAGTACATCCTATGCCCTTGCCAACCTCAGTGCTTGTGACTCAATATTATATCCTCAGAACAATAGCCTGGGCCTCTGGATTACTAGTCTCTTGAAAAGGCCACTACGTCACTCCCTTAAGTTAAGCTATTAGTTACCTTAAAGCAGTGGTCTTCATTATATGAATTTCTCATTTGGACACTCCAAGGAGGAAAATGGGCAAAAAAGTCAGCATGTTCATGGAAGTAGATATCCAGCCAGTTTATTAGTGGCTGTCTAATTTGTAGGTGAGGGGGAGCACTCATGAGAGAAATGCCCAGCACAGAGAAAGGAGCTCTTGGCAGCAATTGACAGCTTACATCCAACATATACTTTGTATCTGACCTATTTCCAACTACTCAACAGCTTTTATTTTGACTTGTAAGTAACAAAGAGGATTGATGAGGGCAAAGCAGTGGACGTGATCTATATGAACTTCAGTAAGGCATTTGACAAGGTTCCTCATCGTAGATTGGTTAGCAAGGCTAGATCACACGGAATACAGGGAGAATTAGTTATCTGGATACAGAACTGGCTCGAACATAGAAGGCAGAGGGTGGTGGAGGGCTGCTTTTCAGACTGGAGGCCTGTGATCAGCAGTGTGCCACAAGGATCAGTGCTAGGTCTGCTGCTTTTTGTCATTTATATAAATAATTTGGATGTGAACAAAGGTGGTATGGTTCGTAAGTTTGCAGATGACAACAAAATTGGAGGCATAGTAGACAGCGAAGGTTACCTTGGAGTACAATGGGATCTTGATCAAATGGGCCATTGGGTTGAGGAGCGGCAGATGGAGTTTAGATTTTTTTTTAAGAACCCCTACAGTGTGGAAACAGGCCCTTCAGCCCAACAAGTCCACACGGACCCTCGGACCATCCCACACAGACCCATTCTCCTGTAACCGGCCTAATCTACACACTTTTGGACACTATAGGCACATCTTTGGAATGTGGGAGGAAACCGGAGCACCCGGAGAAAAGCAATGCAGACACGGAGAGAATGTGCAAACTCCACACAGACATCGAACCCGGGTCCCTGGCTCCGTGAGGCAGCAGTGCTAACCACTGTGCCACCATGCCACCCCTAAGTTAGATAATTTCAATTTAGATAAATGTAAGGTGCTGCATTTTGGAAAGGCAAATCAGGGCAGGACTTATACACTTAATAGTAAGGTCCTAGGGTACGTTGCTGAACAAAGAGATCTTGGAGTGTAAATTCATAGTTCCTTGAAAGTGGAGTTGCAGGTAGATAGGATAGTGAAGAAGGCATTGGTATGCTTGCCGTTATTGGTCAGTGCATTGAGTATAGGAGTTGAGATGTCATGTTTCGGCTGTGCAGGACATTGTTTAGGCCACTTTTGGAATACTATGTTCAATTCTGGTCTCCTTGCTACAGGAAAGATGTTGTAAAACTTGAAAGGGTTCAGAAAAGATTTACAAGGATGTTGCCAAGGTTGGAGGGTTTGTGCTATAGGGAGAGGCTGAATAGATTGAGGCTATTTTCCCTGGAGTGTCGGAGGCTGAGGGGTGACCTTATAGAGGTTTATAAAATCATGAGGGGCATGTATAGGGTTAATAGACAGGGTATCTTCCCTGGAGTGGGGAAGTCCAAAACTAGAGAGCATAGGTTTAAGGCGAGAGGGGAAAGATTTAAAAGGGACCTAAGGGGCAACTTTTTCAAACAGAGGGTGGTACGTAAATGGAATGAGCTGCCAGAGGAAGTGGTAGAGTCTGATACAATTGTAACATTTAAAAGGCATCTGGGTGGGGATACAAATAGGAAGAGTTTAGAGGGATATGGGCCAGGTGCTGTCAAATGGGACTAGATTTATTTAGGATATTTGGTCAGCATGGACAAGTTGGACTGAAGAGTCTGTTTCTGTGCTGTATAACTCTATGACTGTCAAATTCAAGTTTTGATGTGGATTCTTGAAGCCTTCAGTCAGATTCTGTGCTGAAGTTATTCTAATCTCCTCTCTGCCAATGAATGAACTATTCTGTTTAGCTGGCCATGGAGTGGATGGATAGGTAGGAGGCCACAACTTTTACTGGAAAAAATGAACTGCAGGATAGAGACAGCAGGGTATTATGCAGGCAAAGATAATGGAAAGTAAGTGGAAGATGTATGAAAACCAGGCATCTCTACCTAATGGCACTATGAGATTATATTCACTCCATAAAATTTAGCAGTTCAAGAAAATGGCTCACCTTCTGAAGGGCAATAAATGTTGACCTTGGCAATGATGTCCACATCACTTGAACAAGTAAAAGTGAAAAGTTCACTGGGCAAACCAAACAAAACAAAGGATAAAGCAAAGCAGACAATGGAACAAACTGAGAAAATGGCAATATGGACATGCATATCACTGATGAGAAAACTGGGAGTGATGAGAGCTGGTTCCCTGCCCAACTACTCTACCTAAATAATAATTAAATAATAGTAGTAAATGAGACAAAGGTGAATACACAGGTATATAAACAATTGTAATGAAGGAAGGGAGAAAGAGTAGCAAAAATGTCACAGATACTAATACATGCAACATCATAGAAGATATATTTTGTTGAGCCGTGTTGTCAAATACATATAGTATGTTGGGATTTAGAAAGAGAAGTAAATCCAGAGAAAAATACCTTCCAACTGACAAAGTTGGACCTATTTGTAAAATAAATCTTTATGAATGTTTGAGGTAGAGTTTGAGAAAATGCTCACTATCCAATGAGTCCAGAAAACTTAAACCCTTAGTATAATTGCTGCAATGAAATCAAACGTGGCTGATTACATTCCATAAGTAATATGGAACCTGTTCTGGCTTTAAGTGAGGCAATATTTCACATTCTTTCCCCAGCAGATTGCATTGTTCCTCTTTATTTCCAAGATATATGCACGTTGGATATAACCTCATAAAACATTGCAGAGTTCCACATTGAATCAAACTCATCTCACTGGGAACACAACTCACAAGAATTGATAGGAATTCAGAGTAGCAATAATTAAACAGATTTTACAAAGTTTTAAAAAAAGTTGTGTTGAGCCAAGTCAACACATTTTTCATGAGAACAGATATTGAGAATTCCATCCCTTTAGATTTTCCATTTATGCTCCAAATAATTTTCAAGGATATTTTATTGTACAAAAGCATTCACTTGTAGACTTCATTTAAGTTTTGATAAAGGTATCATTATTTTACCAATGCTACAAACGGCTTTGCTGATTACAGAGCTCATATTTCCTTTCTCTTTAATTTTCTTACAAAAGGACTGCCTATCCTTCTCAAGGAAGTCACAGGAAGTAAGAATGTCTACTCACTTATTATAGTTAAGAATTGAGTTTCACCTTCTTCAATAAATGGGATGTCTTCAATAAATCCTGCACATTTACAATATCCACTCCACTGTAAAATGTCATTTTAAAACCAGGAAACCTCTGTAGTAAATAAAGAAGGCAGACAAACCAGTTTAGACAAACAGAACAACTTTGATGAGTCATTGACCAAGGGTAGTTAATCAATTACTGAATAAATAATGCAAGTGTTTAATTTCATTCCATTCTTAAATGCAACACAAAAGGGTCAATGGCATTTAAAATTTAGGATAGCTCTTTTAACTGAGCCATGATATTAGCATTCTGCTTTATTTCTAAAGCAATTAGAAACCATCAGGATAAGAAGCTGAACTTTTTGAAAGAAGAATTCCTAATCAAAAGGTTCTTGGCATAGGTCAAAAAGGCTTAACTGCGCTTGAGTTTTTCAAATTTGCAGAAACCTCTCTCTCTCACACACACACACACACACACGTACATACACACACACACACCCCTGTAGGTCTTGCTGGAAATCTGGCAAAACTGCAGTGAGGTAATATTTACCAAGGAGAAGAGTAGAGTAAGAGTGGAAAGAAGAGTACAGCTTCTTAAACCAAGCAGAATTGTATTGATGAGGCCAAGGAAGTCAGCAGCAGGAGTATGTCCCTCCAACCAGAAGACAATACACCAAGAGGCTTCAGCACCTCAGCAGGGCAGTTAAGATAAATGGTCCAACATTTTCAGGTACTAAGCTCCAGCATATGACTTTCCCAGCATTGTCATGCACAGCACTCCTCAGAACACGCATTGCATCTGTGGTCATTGCTCTCTCTGCAGGCATCTCTACACAGCTCCATCTGGAAAGCCTGCTGGAGGTATGGTTGGTGTTAGCTTTGCTGTTGCCCTTTTCCTTGATGGTGAGGCCAGCTAATCTGCATAAGCTGTTCCCACACTGTGATGAGGGCTGACAACAGGGAGGCGCAGCTGAAGGTGAGTGAAGGTATACTGACTTCTGAAAAGTTGGAAATCATTTGTTAAGCAGTGAAGATGCTGTTTGCAAAGTACTGTGAGCATCATACTCTCACTGAGGCATGGCTGAAGCTCTTTAGTTTAGCTGACCTAAGTCTTCTTGTCCTGTCACATTTCATCGAAGAAGCTCATCCTAATGGACACTTATCTGGTTACCCCGGCAAGTTGTTGTTAGCTCAAGAAATTGAAGACTGAAAATCTGTTTCTGATAAATGACTAAATGTACATATGTTTGATGTTTTGGGTAGTTCAATTTAGAATTTTAGTCTTACAAAGGAAGAAAATACATAATGATCAATTGTTCTGAGTTTGATTATATAAATGTTTACTATTGATGTTGACATTGATTAAGCCTGGGTGCAAACTCAAGGACAAGGAAACAAGGTGGAAAAAAACAGAAAGCTAAAAGCAAGGCACTAATGTTTTAAATCACTATCAATAAAATCTATTCCCATATAGAAAACTAGCGTCATCTTTGCAGAGATCCAAGGCATAAAATATATGACACCACCAATAAACTAATGCTATTATGAAATCTGGCTGCCAGGCACCTGGTTCAAGCTGTAAAATACTTTAGAAAAAGATGTTGTCAGTGTTGTCTGCTCTGTCAGTGTTCATACTGTCATTGTGTTTTCAACAACCTGATTTAGCCTTTAAAGAACCACAGGTATAAATCTTTATGAAAGGGGAAATTTTCTCTTGATCTGTTTCCATAAAATAAAACAATTAAACAGCCAGCTTATTCAATTCCTTCAGTATTGTGTGTTTCATACAAATTTTACTGACTTTTGGTTGCATCCTTTTAATGATTTGTATACTTAACTAATATTGCCAGTGTCTTAGGGAGGCAGAAGATGGGAACTTACAAGCTGGTTAGCCTGATTTCAGTCGTTGGTAAGATTTTAAGAGTCTGTTATTAAGGATGAGATTGCAGAATACTTGAAAATGCATAATAGAATAGGCTGAATCAGCACAGTTTTGTCAAGGGGAGATCATGCCTGGTAGATCTGTTAGAATTCTTTGAGGAGTTATTTGGATTTCCAGAGGTCTTTGATAGGGAAGCTGTTCAGCAAAGTAAAGGCCCATGGTGTTAGGGGTCTTTAATTTGAGTATTTTTTAAATATACTCTTTATTCTTATTCTAAACTTTGAGTAGTTCGAGTACTTTTTAAAACTGTGCATTCCCTATTCTAGACCTTTTATTTTACTCTTTCAATTCTGTAACAAACGCATAAAGTACCTAGGTACCCTGTACCTAAGATGGAGCCAAAGCAGCGACTTTTCACTTTTCACTGCACTCATTTGAGTATATGTGACAATAAAGGCTATACTATTCTGTTCTAACATACTGACATGGAAAATGGATTGGCTGATTGACAGAGGTAAACAGTAGGGGTATAGGGGTCTTTTTCAGGATGGCAGCCAATGACTGGTGGAGTTCCACAGGAGTCAGTGTTAAGACCACAACTATTCATGTTATACATTAATAATCTAGACAAAGGAACTGAGGACATTGTTGCTAAGTTTGCAGATGACAACGAGATACGTGGAGGGACAAGTAGCATTGAAGAAGCAGGGACGCTGCGGAAGAACTTGGACTGGCTAGGAGAGTGGGCAATGAAGTGGCAGGTGAATACATTGTGGGAAAGTATGAGGTTGTACACTTTGGTAGGAAAAATAAAGAAAAATATGTTCCACGTGGGGAAAGACTTCAGAAATCTGAAGTCAAAGGGACTTAGGGATTCTAGTTCAGGATTTTCTTAAGGTTAAAATGCAGGGTCAGTTGACAGTTAGAAAAGCAAATGCAATAGTAGCATTCATTTCAAGAGGACTAGAATACTAGAGGTACTGTTGTGGTCATATAAGCCTCTGGTCTGACCACATTTGGAATAATTTGAGCAGTTTTGGGCTCTGTATCTAAGGAAGGATGTGCTGGCATTGGGTTGGATCGAGAGGAGATGAATAAGAATGATCCCAGGGATGAAGGGCTAATCATATTGGGAGCAGTTGAGGACTCGGTCTGTACTCAATGGAGTTTAAAGGGATGTGACGGATTTCATTGAAGCTTACAGAATACTGAGAGGTCTGAATAAAGTGAACATGGAGAAGATGTTTCCAATAGTGGGAGAGACTAGGAGCTAAGGACACAGCCTCAAAATAACTTTTTGTAACTGAGATGAGGAGGAATTTCTCCAGCCAGAGGGTGGTGAATCTATGGAAAGCAGAAGGGTAAAAAGGCCAAGTCCTTGATTGTATCTAAGACAGAGATAGATAACATTAAAAAAAATCTGACTTGGGAAATGGGATGATCACAGCAGGGTCTATGCTTCTTCAAACTTGGGTTTAAAAAAAATATTAATTCCGTCTCCAGAGATGCTCAATGATTTGGTCAACAGGGACAATCACTGTACTGTAACTGAGCTGAAGCAGATATTTTGATGCTGACTCAAAGAAGAAACTATGCAAACATAGGGCAGAACAACAGATATATTATTAAAAACCAAAAAGAACTGCGGATGCTGTAAATCAGGAACAAAAACAAAGTTGCTAGAAATGCTCAGCAGGTCTGGCAGCATCTGTGAAGGAGAAAACAGAGTTAACGTTTCGGGTCCAGTGACCCTTCCTCAGAATATATTATTAATATTTATTAGAGTTCTACTGCAGGACCTTCCAATTCTTTCATGATTCCATAGTACCAATAACATTTGTTTAATTCAGGTTTAGAAAATTAAAATCATGACCCTGTGTGGAAATTTGCTGGCCGTAGACAGTTGAGTACACCAATTGGAACTGGCTTATTCTGCTATTTTTCTTTTCTGGTGGATGTTCTATAATATATCACTAACAAGGGTAATACACCTGCATTCTTCCTTGACTAGTCTTGGAAATGACTTATCATAGAAATACGTTGAGTGAATTTTCCAATTAGACCAACTTAAAGAACATATTTCAAGTTCAAACGCAAAGAATGCTGGAGAAATTCGGCAAGTCAGGCAACATCTGTTAACATTAGACTTAACATTTTGAGTCTGGTATGACTTCTTCAGAACTGAATAGGAGTTTTGAAAAGGTCTTGCACCAGACTCAAAAAATTTAACAAAATTTTTCTCCACAAATGCTGCCAGACATGCTGAGTTTGTCCAGCATTCCCTATGTTTCATATTTCCAGTGTCCGCAGTATTTTCTGAAGGAAAATGATTTGATTTTCCAAACTTGTGAAAAATTGTATAATGGGACATCACATGAGGCGCTTACAATGCATAGGAATATGATTAGATGGAAATAATCAAGAAAGATGAATGTTCTACACTTAATTAAATTAAACATTTTAGTGGTGTATTCATATTAATAAAATTAGATTCTGCATTACCTCCATTCATTTAATTTGACCATGAAAATCATCCCTACTGCTTTGATGAAATTCCAAATTGCTGACCATTAAATTTCCCTTAAAGAAAGCATAGTCCCAGAGAGCTGCTCTCCAATCAGAGGAAGATTGGTGGTGAGTTTAACCTGAGGATCACCATGCCTCAGGCAAGGTTGAAAAGGCAGGATGCTCATGGCAACCTCAGCTGGTAAGCAAATTGAACCTGTGCTTTTGGTGTCACACAATATTGCAAATCAGCCATCCAGCCAACAGACCCCCTAAATTTTGGGCCTCATATCAGTCATGCAGTGTTTTCTTAGAATTCTCTCCCGTCCCTTCAAATCTACTGTCATCATACTTCTATTTAACACAATAATTACTTAGTGTTTTATTATTAACTTTCCTTTGCTCTCCTACCATTTCTTCAGGTGAGTTGCCATTTTCAAACTGTGTCCCAGAATTCCATGTTTGACTCCCTCCAAGAGGTTTATAGCTCAGCCCCAATGCTGAAACGGTCATGGTTAAATGGGCTCTTGTGGCACAGTGATAGTGTCCCTACTGCTGAGATAGGAGACCTGGGTTCACATCCTACCTGCTCTAGAGGTATGTAATAACATCTCAGAGCAGGTTGATTAGAAAATACCTGAAAGTCACAAAAGGTATTCTTTATGATTATGGCAGTAATATCCTATCTATTTTCATCCTCCTTGACCTGCTTACATTTGACACATTTGAGTGCATCATTTTTTTTTCCATATCCACCTTGCATTTTACAGCTGACTGGAGCTGTCCTGGTTTCTTCTGATCTCGGCCTTTTTCCTATTTCTCAATTGCAGTGATATTATCTAAAAATATAACATCAAGTTTCATGAATATGCCATGATATTCAGTTCTGACACATCACCCCCACCACCATGACCTTTGATCTCTCAATGGTCTCTGATTGGTTACAATTCTTGTTTAATCTCCAATATTAGATGAGCAAGCATGTCCTGCCAATTAATGTGGAGAAGACTGAAGCCACAAAACCTTTTCCATGCCCACCATTTCTATCCCTGATTGTACTCTTAACCTGTACAAGACTGCTTAGAACCTTGGTATTGTGTTTGAATCGGAATTGTGTTTCTGGTCACATAACTGTGCAACTACCAAGACTGCCTACATTTACCTCCACGTTATCCATTGACTTCAATCTGCCCTCAACTCACTTGCTGTTAAAGCTTTCATTCAATACACTCAAATTTAATATCCTCGATTTTGTTTTCAAATTTCTCCATGTCCCCAGCATTCACTATCTGTATAGTCTTCAGCTCCACAAACTTTGGGATCTCTGGAATGCTCCAATTCTGGTCTAGAGTGCATCCCTGATCTTAATTGTTCATGTTTTCACCTGTCTTGCTCCTAAACTCTGGAATTCCCTCCCTAAACATCTGCATCTTGTGCCTTTTAAGATGGTCCTAAAACATACCTCTTTGACCAAGGCTTTTTGTAATTTTTCCTTCAAGGTCTCAGTGTGAAAGAATTGTGCCAAAAATGCTTTCATTGATATCACTCTTGTTAAGTACCTTGGGATGTTTTAACATGTTTTCAATGCATTATATAAATGTAAATTGTTGTTGGTCATAGAAAACTTTACACAACAAAATAATGCCATTCTGTTTCCTAGTCTCAGCAGGATACTGCATAGAACATATAAACTTAAAGATGACAAGACTGAAGCCCTGACAAGACAAACATTTTGCTGATTCCCCTCCACCACCTCTCAGTTGCTACTAAAATGATGTTTCCATACAGAACTTACTTCAGAGTGAATACTAATGTGAAGATACATTAAAACTTGATGCAACAGGAATTCAAAGCACTCTAACAGCAATAAAACCAAAAGGAAAAGCCTCAGGCTGGCTTTCAGTTTCCCTTTTGTATTTATGGAATATTGTGGTAATCTCCTGAGTTTAATGTGTTCTGCTAACTGCTTTTCTGTGTCACCATGCTACGGTGATTACTGTGGTCCATGTGAAAAATTAGATCAGCAGTTACTTTCATTTTCACCATTATTTTAATTTTCTGAAGTACAAGCTCAGCATATTTAAGAAAAATCCGGCCAAAACAGTAAATCCTGACTTAATTATAGATCTGACTGTGCATCTGTATTGGAAAATACCTTCCCAGTTACTTTCCTAGTCGAGGATATTAAAATTGAATGCATTGACGTAGATGTAATAAAGGCTTAAACGAAAGCTTCAAGAGGAAGTAAGCTGAGGACAGATTGAAGTCAGTGGATATTCATGGTCATTTTCTAAGTGAACTATTTTGGTTAATATTTCATTCATATATCATTTAGCAAGGGCTAAATAAATTATGATAATAAATCCAAATAGGATTTAAGATATTGTTTATCCAGATCCACAAAATAAAATGGAACTTTAGAGCTATTAGATAATTTGAACTCAATTGGTCTAGTTAAACATTATTGAGAATTTTTTACTTCTTTAAATAGGACTGTCAATTATCTTTTTTTTCATCGTCCATTTTTAACGCATTTTGGTGAAATCTGTTCATATTTTTTATTAACCAATTTTTCCTAATCAACCTGTTCAGAGATGTTATTATACACCTCTGATGCAGGTGGAACTTGAACCCAGGCCTCCTGGTCTCAGCATAGGGACACTACCACTCTGCCACAAGAGAGCCCATACCTGTTCTTATAATTTCTGAGGAAATGACACATACTTTAGGGTCAATTTGCACCATAGCTACCCACTAGAAATTACTCAAGTGGTAACTTTACAAATAAATAAATCCTTGCTATAGCTAAACATTTGAGACATTAACTAGTAGCGTTTTGTAAGTAGGCGAGACACCCATTAAAATCACATGGGAGCTTCATTATCTTTGTGAACATCAGGGTCCAATTACGTCAAGAGGATACAGATCAAATTTTAATAGAAGTGCGAAACTGAAGCCATGGATCTCGAACTGGTGTGAGCCAGAACAGGCCTTTCTTATAGATGTATAACTATTCTACATGTGCAGAAGATGCTGGAGTAACATTTCCCCATCTATTTCCACTGTAGCACATACCATTTAACAACCCAGTGTCAAACTGCAGCCACAAAGTGCAGCATGAATGTAAAATACAGCAGATGCTGGAAATCCAAAACGAACACAGAAAATGCTGGAGAAACACAACAGGTCTGCCAGCGTTTTTGGAGTGAGAAACAGAGTTAACATTTTGGGTGAGATAAGAGCATCTGCCTCAACATCAATGTCGCATTTGACTGAGTGCAGGGTTAAGGAGCCCTAGCAAAACTGGACTCAGTGAAAATTAGAGGTCATGAATCCTGCTGCGAGTAACTCAATCCTGACATCACAAAACCTGTCCACCATCTACAAGGCACAAGTCAGGAGTGTAATGGAATACTTCCTACTTGCTTGGATGAGGGCAGCTGCAACAACATTCAAGAAGCAATGACACTGTCCAGGCCAAAGCAACCCACCTGACTGATACTAAGTCCACAAGCATTCACTTCCCGAATCACTGATGTTCAGTAGCAGCAATATGTACTGTCTACAAGATGCACTGCAGAAATTCACCAAAACTCCTTAGACAGTACCTTCTCAACTGACAACCATTTCCATCTAGAAAGTCAATGATAAACACATCAGAAAACCTCTTGCAAGTTCCTCTCCAAACAACTTACCAATCTGACTTAGAAGTCCATAGCTGTTCCTTTATTGTTGTTGAGTTGAAATCCTGGAATTTCCTCCTTAACAGTGTTGTGGGTTTATGTGCAGCATGTGGACTGCAATGGTTCAAGAACGTAGCTCACCTCCACCTTATCAAGGACATCTATAGAAAGGCAATAAATGCTGGCCCAGGCAGAGGCCTCAATATGCCATGAGCGAATTTTTTAAAAGTCTGATATGACTCTTCAGAAGAGTTCTGAAGAAGAGATACTTAGACTTTTTAAAATTCAAAGAACAGTTCTGAAGAAGATTCATATCTTTGGCTTGAAGCACTAATGGTCTACCAGTTCTCTTTCTCTCAAGATCAAACGTATTTTAGTTTCCCTCCTCTCTACATATGTATACACTTGCTGAAAAATACTGGAATTCATATCCCTTCACACATACTGACAAAATAAAAATACTTTTTAGACATCTGTTATAATGAAATGCACCTAAATTTCTCTCTGCCTTGTTGTTACACATCTAAAGGTTATGTAACATAACGGTCTCACAGCTTTAAGAGAAAGAATACAAAATAGAAATCTTGAATTAAATATCCGAAAGGTAATAAATTATGTCAAAACTGAAGAACTCTGACAATTACAAATTTATAAAAATGTATATCCTGTCTATGATGCTCAGTTATGTAAGACATTTTTATCTGCTCTGTAGCTGATACATGCTGTGCAAATCATGACTGTTGACCATAAAGTAGAAGTCCCGCAGTTTTGTTTGTAAGTCACCTTTATAGTTTTGTACCATTCTGATGCAACTGCTAGCTTCAATTGGTAATCCTGTTTGGCTTCCCTTGATGCTTGCAGAAAAAGGCCAAGATAACACAGACTGGATTAGGAGTTTATAAGGAATATTTCAAATTACCTTGATGTATTTTACAACAAATTGACTAATAACTAACGTCTGTTTCACTGAAACAACTGTAATAAATACAACATAACCACTGTTCTCTCCAAAGTTCCATTAAGCTGATATTGTAATAAAAGATAACACTTTATTTGATTTCAAACCACTTTTTTTTCTGGGAATAGCTGTTTTGAATCACAAATTGTTCACCTACATCAGGGATTCACGGACATGAAATTTAGAATAATTTTTAAAAATGCAACATTCTTTTCTGCAGGATTGGCTGAGTAGTATCAGTGCTGAAAATTTGAGCTTTTTCTAACCTAGCATTAGCAATACCTAACTTTGAGAGGTAGAATAAAGATCTGTCTATTCTGGTCCAACAATGTACTTAAAGATCAGTTTTGAGACAGAACCCTTACCATCCAATTCATTTTCACTTTGCAGAACAGTTATCTTTCAGAGAATTCTGAGTGAAACAGACAATCATAAAAGTAATTAATATGTAATATGGTCTATGTTGGGAGCAGCTTGGAGGAAAAATCTGGAAATGCTGAAAACACGGAGATTCTGCCAACATCAATGAGAGTTACTCATCATGTGATTTTTCCTTCCATTCAGTGGCGACCAAATTCCAAAATAAACGTACGAGCTATCAATAGAAGATTGCAACAGGGGACAATTCTTGGCAAGTGGGGAACATTATGGTTTGGTGTTGAGACGAGGTGGCGTGAGTTGGACTGGCAATCCAAAGGAGGAATTTGGGTCTAGAGATAGATGATAGAGTTTTTTTGTTGGGGGCAATTTGGATCATGAGTCAGGAAGAAGGGGTTTGGAAGAGAACAGTGTTGGATTTTGATGAACAATTAAAAATTTACTTGTTCATGGAATATGGGCATCACTGGCAGAAATTTCAATTAAAGATAATTCCCTCTTTTCCATGGTTATTTAATTGACTGTTTTAAATGCAATAAGCTCTGCTATAACTCACTGCATTAGGTCCAGACAAATTGTATTCTAAAATCATGGAGTGACTGACATTTATACAGAGCCTGCAGCAATATTACTGGAAATGTAACTGTTGGATTTTACATTTGTAACTTTCTATTGCAATGTCTGCATATCTACAGAGTGTTGAAGTGCATTTAAGTGAATTAATTCTCTTTGTGAGATGGTGAGAACACATTAAACACGGGGCCAATGCTTGCCATAGGCATGAAAAGAAAATCAGCACTTACATCAATCCAGGTCAGTCATGCTCATCTTCCAGCAACTGATTGAACAACAGAATAGAAAAACATTTAACAAAAACTGTATGGAGGGTCTCAAAGAAAGTTGAATAAATTATGATTTTATTCCCATATACTCTTTCTGAAGATATTGCTTGAGCACTGAATTTGTTGGAAGAAAGAACGGAAATTAAAACAGAATTTTTACGTGACTTATAAATTAAAATTGCAGAGAATGAACTGTTGTATATGACTGGTAGCAGAAAGGATGACCTGACATCACAAGATTGACTCCACCCAATAAGATGTAAAGAACGATTCCACAACACAGATTAATCCCAAAAGAAGACTTGGTGGCAGTGAATCTTCTCAAGGCTTCTTAGTCACCCCATTTCAATGTACTAGCAGCTTGGGCACCCAATATTTTAAGATGGTAGTAATAATGGCACAGTCTGAAGAATTCGAAGATAGCAAGAACTGCAGGTGCTGGAGTCAGAGTCAATACAGTGTGAAGCTGGAGGAACACAGCAGGTCAGGTAGCGTCAGAGGAGCAGGAGAATCGATGTTTCAGGTTTACAACCTTCATCAAGACAGGAGTCCATGGGGGATAAGCCGGTTGCATAGGCAGGTACTGACGAAGGAGAAGTGGCTATAGTAACAGGTTTGTTTCAGTATGTGTTTGAAGAACTTCAGAGTGGAGAAGGTCGCCAGTGGGTTGCAGTGAGAGAGAAATCCACTGACATCTTACTGGAGGGAGTAGGACAACTTCTTCATGGTGGGCATCCTTGGAAGAGGCTTCACAGTAGGGTTTTCAGTTACTTGGAAATAGCAAGAACTGCAGATGCTGGAGTCAGAGTCTATACAATGTGGAGCTGGAGGAACCAGCAGGTCAGGCAGCATCAGAAGAGCAGGAGAATCGATGTTTTGTGTTTAAACCTGAAACATAATCCAGCTAATTACAGGCCAGTGAGCCTTACGTGAGTGGTAGGGAAATTATTGAAGAGGATTCTTCAAGACAGGATTTACTCCCACTTGGAAATAACTGGGTGTGTTAACGAGAGGCAATGTGGTTTTGTG